ATTTAGCAGGCCATGGAAGTGCCATCTTTCTTCCAATAAATAATGTTTTCCTTGAGCTTATTTTAACAGGGCAGATGATTAACCAGCCACAGTGAGCAATGGACAGGACAAAGCACTGAGATTAGCAGGATGGCCTTTTGGCTACTGCTCTGTTGCTGCAAGAGCAGCCAGCATTCACAGCATGGGAATGGTCTATACCCTCCTCAGGTCTCACTGTTCCCATATGCTCTACCTCATCTGGCAGATGAAAGCTCCTGGGGACAGGGCTGCTCCTCCTGCACAGTCCCAGCAAGCAAGGGTCAGCTTTTCACAAAGGGCTCCTAGATGTCAGGAGACAGAGAGCATCATCCTTGTGCTTTTGAAAGGTCTCTACCACATTATGGCTTCTACACCCATAGAGTTTGGAGTTCAGACTGAACCATCAAGTGGCCTCTCCTTGCTCAGTTGTACAGCAAAGGAACTGCAGAGTAAAGGATCTACCCCATTCCTTCTGCGCCCAGGAGAACACCACGAGCTCCACCATGGACTGAGGGGCCAAAAGCACTTTTGGAGGTAGTCTGTAGCTCTGGTAGCAATGCAACTTCTGTACACAAGAGCAGACACACTGCCCACATGGTTAAGCTGAAAGGGAAGCCCAGCTCCAGCCTTTTGGGGCCTAAATTCCAGGACCAGAGTAATAAAATGGAAGAGAGAAGGGTAGCACAGCCTCTCCTGCTCTTCTCTCAACAAAAGAAGATACAGCAAACACTCAGTATGTAATACAATAAAGCAAAGGCAGCCTCCAATAAATAAATAATAATAAATAAAAAAAAAAAAAGAAAGATCCTTGCGACTAAGAAAACAAAAGCACACACTGCACTCAGCAGAAGCCTGGTACACAAAGGACACGCTCCCCAACATCCATTTGTTGGAGGCAACAGCCCACAGCTCTGCTCAGGCAGGCCTTTGCTTCATTGTGTCTAGCCGTCCTGTGGTTAGACAACAGGGAGAAAGACACACTTCACCCCACAGTGGCTCAACCATGTGCTCAGGGCACTTCAATATATTTCATGACCTCTCCTCTGCATGGAGAAAGAGGGAAGAGGAGGGAAGTGGATGTCTTTACACTGAAGAGGCATTTAGGACCGCAAGCCTTTAGCAATCCACTCCTGAGCTGACCAAAAGCAGCACTCCCCTCCTGGGCAGCAAGGGCTATGCCTGGAAATATTCTTCAAGACTCAAAACCAACCAACATTTCCAGTCATGGTTTATTCCACACCATCCAGCCCTGTATCAAGAGTACCATTCGGGCAGACCACTGTGCCCTCCAGCTGGTGTGGAACCACAGTCTGGGACAAGTGTGACCTACTTGCTTCAAGCTCTCCCATATCACTGTGACTCATATGCATCCTAGAAATGGAGGTCTGTGGATCAAACTACAGAGATGAGAGAACCACAGTCTTGGAAATCCTTTCTTTCTAAAAGAATCACATGTATTTGCTTCTCCTAGCCACCCTTCACCTCCCAAATACATCTTTGGGGCTCAGGTGGTTACTCTGCTCTTCCCCAAGCTGATGTGACATGATACCACTACCTTGGGGTTACAAGGACTGAAAACCCAAGAGTTTTCATGGGAGAACTCCACAGCAGACTGATAAACTGCAGGCTGAGATGCACAAGCAAGTCATGACAGACCCCTGTGGGGGCATGAGACTAGTTCCACACACAGCTTAAGCCAAAGACAGGACAGATCTCATCCCTCCATGTGCACACTGCTGTTTCCATAAGGCATGCAAGTCCACAGCTGAGCCAACTGCAGGGACAGAAGCACTAGCACCCACAGAGAGGGGAGGGAGAGTGGAAACACGCAGCCTCTGGAAAGCATCTCCCCACAGAGGCCCACACTAACAAGCTCAAGCCAACTACCTGTCACTGCTCAGCTGGCTATTTCACAGCCTCATTACCCAGCTAGAAAGGGACCGTACCAATCACCTTTACCACATCAGCAGGACAGAAAGAAATCTGTTTCATACACTGTTCCTGTGGAAACAAGAGAAATATCAGTAATAGGAGGCTCATGAACACTGACTTGAAGGTAAAGAAATTCCTGCTTCTAAAGAAGATGCTTTTGTATGCTTCCCAGGCTCCACATACTTTTTGCAGTATGGAGCACTGCAGACCAACAGTAAAGCCTGCCAATAATCTACATTCCAGTCCCAGACTGAACTCTGCCTCTTAAAAGCAGCACCACTGTCCAACTGTATCAACAGCTTTTTATTTTCCAGAAACTATACCAGACCTTTAACAGACTACCACAGTTTTTAGGAGCTGGAGACAGCTCACCGTCCTTTTTACAGTAGAAATCTGGGTGACATGTCCTAAGTTTGGTTATCTAAGACAGATTCCACTCCAGAACAGATCCATGCTCACAGCACCGAAGCAGTGGAAAGCAGCTCCACGTCCTTCACTGACACCTTGTGTCAGAAGCAGGAATTGGCTGGAACAGAGAAGGCCAAGCAGGTTCCAAGTGATACCCAGCACAGGTGTACAACGCACAAGGACTTCTGGCTGAGAAACAACCAAAGCACCAGGACTTTTGGAGCCGGAAGAAGGGATTAAACATATTATTGCAGAGGGTTTCAAGAGAAAGCCTAAGCCAAAACAGCTCTCACACCCTCCCCTCAATCCTGGTCATGTTTTGCTGCCCCTTCTTAAAGCCCGTTCAGGAACCTGCTTGATCACAGAGAGCCTATTTTGGCTCTCCATTTCTCACTCATCAAGGAGCAAGAGCTCAAATTGGCTTACTTTGTGATCAGACAAGCAGAGATGACAGAAGATCACACAGAAAAGCATCTCCTCCTTCTGGCAGAACTAAGCTGTCAGCCCAAGTCCTGAAGCAGAGAATTCAATTCCTTTTTACTTCCAAACAGATCCAAGCACACAAGAGGGAGCAGCATTTCAGACCTGGAAGCACAACATCCTCCAAGCAATGTCAATACCAGTGACCAGCCAGATACCCAGTTCCCAGGGCCAGCCCTGGAACAGGTCCTTCAGGATTTCTCCACAGCCGAGGTGACCATTTGCTCCAGGACTAACTGCAATGCCAGACTCACACACAAGAGACAACAGTGAAGACAAAACAGAAGTAGTAGAGAAAAAAGTATGAGTATTTTAAACCTAAGTACTTATTTTGGCTGCTAATAAGCTAGCCACTGCCTGGATTTCATACTGACAAGCACCTGGGAGAGAAAGAATGCGTGTTAAAAGTCTGCGCAGCACAGAAAACGGGTACAGAAATGGGAAAATCAGAACAGAGGAAAGAAATGGTCTGACCACAGACCTATGTAAGTGACAAAGAGCAACATTTCCTTTGAAGGAAAATCCCTCCACAAGAGCACACTAGACACAGGCATAGAAAGCCAAGTGGAGGAGGAATGAGATTGGCAGTGAACTTGTGTCCTCATTTTGGCTGGGACAGAATTAATTAACACTCTGAATGAAGCTTGACCAGGAGCACAGCAGCAGCCACGACCAGAGAGCTGTCAGGGGTGGGGAAGTAACAATACCAAGATATGGGAACTCTAAGCTGACTCAATTCAAATGCAGAAAACACCACTCCAAGGGAGAGCTAAGTTTATGCAACTTGCTTGAGAAGGCAAGGAAGGGAGGATGAAAAAAAGAGAAGCTATAAATACAGAAAGACTCCAAAGAGGAAGCTATCTGTAGGGAAGGTGATAAAGCGATAGTTATGGGCATGCTGAGACTTCTGACAAGCAAGAGAGCAAGAATACCTCCCACCGCCCTGTTTCAGGCCCTGGGCTCCATAGCAAGAACGACAGAGACTGCTGCAAGCAGAGCTGCAAGAGTCTGTCTAAGAGGCTTCTGTCCTAAGTAAAAGGATAGAGACTGAGAAACATCACAGCACTCTGTTCCCATGCTGCTGTTTAATGTTTGTGTGAGCAACTCCAGGTAACTCGCATCCAGGGTTCAGTTGGCCAAGATTCCTCTAGATAGTCAATATTAATTTCAATCGCTCAGCAATGATCATCAAGGTAACACTGATGCTTAATTAGTATTTTTAGAATAAAGAACAATTCAACAATTATAGTCCCATTGACTAAAACAACTGACACCTCTGGATATGTTTCCAGCTTATTTCAATACAGACCTGGTTTTGATCTTTGTGATTTGCGATCCAGGTTCTGGGCACCAACGAGCAAAAACTGTTAAGCAGGTCACTGATACAGAGGAACAGTTTAGCACTGACTAATTAAGACAATGAGCTGACCACAGGTAATGAGTATCACAGAACGAAACTCTCCAGATTTGTACACGCTGATCTAGAAAAGAGGCAACAGCAGGGAGTCTTGGAATCAGCCTAAAAAGAGAACTCAAGATTACAGGCAAAGGGTATTTCACTGGTGAATTTACTAAGATCTGCAGCAAATTTTTTCCACTAGCAAGCCTTCAGTAACAGCAGGTACCTTCCTAGACGACCCCATCACCTCAAAAACTGATCATGGGTATCAGGAATTAAGTTAGATTACCCCAATAATCTTACTTCTGGCCCTAAAAAGGTTTCCTGCACTGCCTGCTATTTAGGAAGCAAAAGCACAAACCAAGACTCATCAGTAAAGCCTGACAAACCCACTGGGCTCCCAGCAACCGCAGGACATGCACCACAGCTATATGGCCACCTCAGGAAAGCACTGGGAGCTCAAGCTTCTTTAAACCACAGATTCAGCTGTTGCAATCACACGGCCGGGCTGACCGGGAAACTGAGTCATCTGAGCACGGAGAGAGCAGTCGGAGGGAGTGGAGAGGAAGGACCAAGTGCCTGCTTAGCCAAAGGGTGAAGAGGGGATAAGCGCCTCAAAAACACCGCTATCGTCTCTTTTCCCCACTACCACGCAGCTCCTCGACTCCCCACTCCTCCACTCTCACACCGGC